TCTTATGGCAATAGTGACACTCGCCGTCGAATCGGCCGCGACCGCGTCCGTAGCTCTTGTCGTCGCTGCCGTAACCGCCACTCCCGCAGCCTCCGCCGAAGTTGCTGCCACCAAACCTTCCTCCCCCTCGTCCTCTACCTCTTCCTCGACCATATCCACGGCCGATGCTCGCTGCCCCAGCGCCATCCGCACTCGCCAACTCACGGCGGCGGAAATCCTTTTGAAGGATAGCTCGCTTCACGTCTTCAAGCGAGAGGCGGGGCAAGTCGCGATTAAGGTTGATGATGAGCGAGGACCATGACTCAGGGAGTAGGGCCAGCAACTTGGTCTTCTTTTGGAGCTCACTATAGTTCAAATCAGCTCCCTCAAGCCGCGTCAACAAGTCAAAGAATTTCTGCACCCCTTCTTCAACCGCTTCATCCTCTTCAATTCGTAGTGTCGCCATTTGCCGTTCCACCACCACAGCTACCGCCGCTGTTGCAGGAGCGTGTACACCCTTGAGAGCAGCCCATGCCTTTGGTCCCTTCTCTGGTTCACGCTGGAAAGGCTTGATGTGACGGATTTGGCTGCTCCCCAACGCTTGCCCAAGTAGGAGGTAGCCTTGTGCGCTCTTCCGCACCCACGGGCTCTTCCCCGGGTCGTTCTCGGGACGCTACTCCGTTCCTTCCATTAACTCCAGCAGGTCATAGTGGTCAAATATGTTCTCCATTCGGAAGGACCACTCAGCAAAGTTGTCACCATTGAACTTGTCAAGGCCAAACACTCTAGGCTCATCCCTAGATGGGCCAACAATTGATTGCACAGGCGCCATGGCTGAATCACGGGGTTGGCCTTGAGCTTGGGCTTCTCCTCTGCCACCAGCACCTCTGCCACCCCTTTCCTCAGGTCCAGCCATTGTCGAAACTGCTCCAAGGGGCTCTGATACCACTTGTTATAGTCACAATAGGCTCCAATGTGCCTAAAACGAAAGATAGAGTGCACAGCCGGATTTCTGCACAGCGGCTTCAAACGTTCATAGCGTTCTGGTCACAGCTTCAAATGACCTGATTCAACTTGGATCTGGAGCGTCTGAACGTCGCCTACAATAGGCAATTTAGATCGCACAATTTCACCAAGTATGACGACACAGTGTCGGTTTGAACGAACGGCACTATGGCAGCCACTATCTTCTTAGAACACAAAATAGGAAGAGATATGAAGAGTTACGAGTTGGGAATGACTCCCAGCTCCTACAAACCCCAAGAGCCGAGGTACAGTGATGTGGAACAGTGCCACACTGTCCCCAACCACGAAGAGTCTCGAAACTACCTTTCACTAGGGCTTACACCAAGTGAAATGTTACACTACACAAAGTAATGTAACTATCTTCAATATCTTGAGGTGTACCCTTTTGGCGAGCTTCGAAATCACTTGAGGCTTGACACCAAGGCTCGGGCTCTTCATCACAAACTCATCCTTGAGTTCTTGATGGCTCTTCTGCACACACCTGCGACACGCCGAACGTTCGACACAGGACAAAATAGAAACCGCGCACGACAAAATAGAAACCGCGCGTAAGACACAAACGACCGCGTAACACGCGTCTAGCGATAACTCGCTATTGACTCGACACACACACTCGACATCATGACTCAATATTCACACACAATTATAAGCATGAAATATATATTATCTCATGCCCTCATACCATTCCATACACACACACATGCACGCACACGGACAACAAGCCGAGTGCAAACCGTAGGGTTGCACCAACATCTGGCAGACCCCTCTGGGGGTCCTGTCCTAACTCACTTCTCCACTGTCCTCTTGTGTCCGGCGGCCCCCTCTGGCACCCTGTCTGGTCTTTACCTCCCCTCGTTCTCTACGAACTTGGTGAGTGGTGCTGACCTAAAGGATGCGGGGGTTCACCAGTTCACTCCTGCGAGTCAGCGGGTGACCCACTGCACGGACGCTCGGACAGGCCGACACCTGGCCACGTTTACACGTCGGCCGGGGTCGAGCCTGTACACGCTGACCACTGCGTCTCCTCCAGTCACTACGTCTGGTCAGGTAGCTGCGTCAGGTCAGGTGTTTGCTGCAGTGTCCAGGTCTGGTCCTGAGTCTTCCCCCTGCTCGTCTCGTCTCCTGTCTCACGAGACTCTCCTCTGGCACCACCGCCTTGGTCACCCCTCCCTGCTTCGTCTCCGAAGCATGGCCTCCCGTGTCCTTGTCTCTGGTCTTCCCTGGTCCCTCCCTCCCCTTCCTCCGGGGCCTGGCCCTACCTGCGTCCCCTGTGTCGAGGGGCGGCAGCGGGCTGCCCCTCACTCCTCCCAGTTTCCTCCGACAGAGGCCCCGCTGCAGACGCTTCACATGGACGTGTGGGGCCCCGCCCGCGTCCGTGGACAGGGTCACGAGCGCTACTTCCTGCTGGTGGTTGACGACTACTCGCGTTACACAACAGTCTTCCCCTTGCGCAGCAAGGGTGATGTCACTGAGGTATTGATCGACTGGATCCGCGCAGCTCGTCTCCAGCTCAGGCGGAGCTTCGGCTCGGACTTTCCTGTTCTGCGTCTGCACTCTGACAGAGAAGGAGAGTTCTCCTCTGGCCTTCTGCGAGCCTACTGTCGTGCACGAGGCATCCGCCAGACCTTCACGCTTCCGGACTCTCCACAGCAAAATGGGATTGCTGAGCGCCGCATTGGCATGGTCATGGACGTCGCCCGTACGTCCATGATGCATGTGGCTGCCCCCATTTTCTGTGGCCGTTTGCGGTCCGGTACGCGGCGCATCAGATCAACCTTCAGCCCAGGGTCTCCATGCCGGAGACCTCCCCAGCTTTGCTGTGGACGGGGAAGGTTGGCGATGCGTCTGCGTTCCGTGTCTGGGGATCTCGGGCGTTTGTCCGCGACTTGTCTGCGGACAAGCTGTCCCCTCGTGCTGCTCCTTGCGTCTTCCCGGGTTTCCCCCCTGATGCGCCAGGGTGGCAGTTCTACCACCCCACCTCTCGCCGTGTTCTGTCCTCCCAAGACGTCACGTTTGACGAGTCGGTCCCCTACTACCGTCTCTTCCCCTACCGCACTCCGTCCCTCCCCCCGCCACCGCTCTTCCTTGTGCCAAGTCCCCCCCCGGTAGACCCCCTCCCCCCTCAGGGTCCTGCCCCTTCAGGTGTGTCCCAGGTAGACGCTGTTGAGCCTGTCGAGGTCGCTGGTGACTCTGGTGCTACTGAGGGTTCTGAGCCTGGGGGTGCTGACTCTGGGGGTGCTGAGCGTGTGGGTGCTACGCCTGGGGGTGCTGAGCCTAGGGGTGCTGAGCCTGGGGGTGCTGAGCCTGGGAGTGCTGAGCCTGGGGGTGCTGAGCCTGGGGGTGCTACGCCTGGGGGTGCTACGCCTGGAGGTGCTGAGCCTGAGGGAGCTGGGCCTGCTCGTGTGGCGTCTGGCGGTGCTGTGCCTGGCGGTTCTCCGCGTGCTTCGTCTCGCTAGGAGCCACTCTCTCCACAGGAGCTGCGTGAGTGGTTTGCCCGGCGCTGGAGGCGAGCTGCTGGACCTGGAGGTGCTGAGGGTACTGGAGGTTCTGCTGCTGCTGAGGGTGCTGGTGCCACGGGTCCCGGAGGTGCTCGTACTGGGAGTACTGGAGCTGCTGGGCCTGCGGGTACTTCTGGAGTTGGAGCTGCTGCGGGTGTTGACGCGGTGGCTACTGCTGTCGGTCCTGGAGGCGGTCCTGCTGGGGGTGCTACTGGTGCTGCTGGAGGTACTGGAGCTGGAGGTGCTGCTGGTGCTGGTGCTGCCGCTGGGGGTACTGGTGCTCTCCCTGCTGTGTCTGGAGTCGCCGCGCGGCCTCGACCGTACTTCGTTCCGCTCCTTCAACAGTTTCTTGGTCTTCCGCCTTCTACTGGTCCTCCTCCTCCCTTCGAGTGTCCACAGCCTGTCTCGTCACAGTTACAGTTACAGCCGGTCTCCCCACTGCCTGCTCCGTCTCCCTACACTGGTCCTACTGGAGGTCTTGCTGAGCGTCGTGAGCCTGCGTCTTGCTCTGCGTCACCTGTCCGTGCTTCTCGCACTAGTGGTCCCGGTTCGCGTCAGCGTCCTCCTCCTGTCCCTGGCACGCACCGGATGTCTCTGCGTCCGTCCACTGCTCCTCTGCGTGCCCCTTTGCCTTCTCCTCCTGAGTCTTCTCTTCCTGCTCTTGCCGACCCGGAGTCGGACTCTCTTCGTGCTGCCAGTCCTACTGTCACGCGTCTCCTTGCTACTGTCGTCACTGACCCTTCTTTTGAGTCCACTGCTGCGTCTGCCCTAGTTGCTGAGCTCGTCGACTTTGCTGCTCGCTGTCGTCTAGACTACGCTACTAGTCTTGTCGCTGAATCTGAGTCTGTCTGTCCTCCGTCCGTCGGGGGTGAGTGTGCCCTTGGCACGGACGTCCTTGAGGACAGGCAGGAGGAGTTCCAGTGTCTGGCAGCTGCTTCACCTCATCTCGTGTCCGTACTGCTTACCCCTGAGGGAGACCCGGATGCACTTGACATCCCGACTCCGCGCTCTTACGCGGAGGCGATAGAGGGTCCCTACTCCTCTCAGTGGCAGGCAGCTATGGACGCAGAGATGGCTTCCTGGAAGTCCACAGGCACCTACGTTGACGAGGTTCCCCCACCTGGGGCGAACATCGTCAGTGGCATGTGGATTTTCAGGGTGAAGCGGCCGCCGGGTTCTCCGCCTGTCTTCAAGGCGCGGTACGTGGCTCGTGGCTTCAGTCAGCGGCAGGGAGTTGACTACTTTCAGACCTTCTTTCCCACCCCGAAGATGACCACTCTGCGGGTGCTGCTGCAGATAGCCGCTCAGCGCGACTACGAGCTTCACTCTCTTGACTTCAGCACTGCTTTCCTGTAGGGTAGCCTGCACGAGGAGATCTGGCTGCGCCGCCCTCCTGGCTTCACTGGGACTTTTCGTCCTGGCACCCAGTGGAGCCTCCGGCGGCCAGTCTACGGTCTCTGCCAGGCACCGCGTGAGTGGCACGACACACTGAGGACTATGCTTGGGGCTCTTGGGTTTGCTCCCTCCACTGCTGACCCGTCGCTGTTTCTGCGCACCGACACTTCTTTGCCGCCGTTCTACATCCTCGTGTACGTCGACGACTTGGTCTTTGCCACAGCTGACACTGCTGGACTCGCCCACGTGAAGTCCGAGCTGCAGAAGAGACACACGTGCACAGACCTAGGTGAACTGCGCAGCTACCTTGGCTTGCAGATCACCCGGGACAGAGCACAGCGCACCATTACCCCGACTCAGTCACACATGGTGCAGCAGGTCGTTCAGCGCTTCGGCTTCACGTACTCCTCGCCTCTGACCACTCCTCTGCCTACCCGTCACTCGCTCTCAGCTCTGCCTTCGGATGAGTCCGTAGAGTCGAGTGGCCCGTACCCAAAGCTTGTTGGCTGCCTCATGTACCTGATGACCTGCACTCGACCTGACCTTGCATACCCTCTTAGCATACTCGCACGCTATGTTGCTCCTGGGAGACACAGACCGGAGCACATGGCTGCAGCGAAGAGGGTGTTGCGCTACTTGTGCAGTACGTCGGGCATGGGGCTTGTGCTTGGAGGGCGGAGTCCAGTGGTCCTCACTGGGCACGCGGACGCTTCTTGGGCGGACGACCAGGCTACGCAGTGGTCGTCACAGGGTTACACCTTCAGCCTTGGTTCCGGCTCTGTTTCGTGGCGGGCTACCCGCTCGTCTTCTGTTCTCGGCTCCAGTTGTGAGGCTGAGATCTACGCCGGGGCCATGGCTGCACAGGAGCTTCGGTGGCTCACCTACCTGCTGACTGACCTTGTAGAGGTGCCTCGTTCTCCTCCAGTGCTGTACATAGACAACAAGGCCATGCTGGCCTTGTGTGGAGAGCAGAGACTGGAGCACAGAACGAAGCACATTGCTCTTCGCTACTTCCTTGCTCGTCAGCTGCAGCAGCGTGGTCAGCTGCGTCTTGCTTACATGGCCTCTGAGGCCAACACTGCTGATATCTTCACCAAGGCACTTGCGCCTTGTGATCATCAGCGCTTCTGTACTCAGCTTGGTCTTGTGCCTGTCTTGCCTCACTTGCTCACCTCTTGACCTTGCTTGTAGTGTTACATATATATATACACCTGCTCTTGCTTGTCTAGCTTTCTATATATATATGTACTCCTGCATGTGAACTGGCCTTGTGGCCTTGAACTTGTGCTCGGAATGTGTGGTGACTTTGTGATCCACCCTGAGCTTGCTTTGCTTTGCTTTGCTTGACTGGTCTTGTGATCGCTTGTTCTCCCCCACTTTGCCTATGGGGGTGTGTCAGAACATTATAGCTTATGCTTTTGTGTAGGTTGTAGTGGCCATATAATCGCTAGCACGACATCGACCATCCGCTGTCCACTCTTCGTTGTCTCCAACCGCATTAGGAACTGACTCCACGCATCTCGTAGCAGTGCCTGTGGCTGGACTTTTTTCCCTTTGAGATGTGTTCTTTGACGAAACCGTCGCATAAGTCGATGTTGATGTTGGAGTTGGGAAAGTTGATGCGGCCGTTATTAGTGACTTACACGGCACGGTGAATGTCCAAGCTAAGCATGGCCACGGTAGGCCTTGCATCATTTAAGAGAGTGAAGTTGCATTCAAGATGTGCAAAATGAGGATAGAAATGGGTGGACCCACCCTCACAGGTCACACTTCTAGAAGGATAGTCCCACAAAGAAATGACATATTTCATAAACATCGTTCTTTCGTGGATGTCACACCTGATTCTGCCTGTGTTTAGAAATGGTGCCCTGTGTATCACATCTTACCAAGAGGAGGTGGTATTCCAACATTGCATGTGGAACTGAAACATGTTTGAAAAACTCTATTACTAGTATTTTTCATTGGAAAAAAATATGTATCCACCGCTGAAAAGATACATTTTTTGTTTCCATAGCAACCATATTTTTAGTAGCATTGGAGTCTGGAGATGTTTCTATTATTTGGGTAATGGCATATCTTGCAATGAGGACAACGAATAATGTGGAGGACCAGAAAAAAAACATCCTCATTGTGCAGTGTCGTGTTCTTTTGCACTGAGTACACCTTTGTCAGCATGTAATCATTCGTGGTAGTCACCGTTCGCATGATCGAGTTACCATACGCGCTATCACGGCCTATGTGTTTTACCATTCCCTTAAAGTCCCTTTACCAAGTTGCCATCATAAACAGTACATCCATTGTAGTGTTATTAGAAAAATCACGAAACGTTTTGCGCTCCTAGCAGTTACATTGACGAACAGATGAGTAACATCACGATATAAAATTACCGGCTAAAACAATCGGGCTATTGTTTTGTATCAAATACTTTTACTTCATCTTAACACTCCTCTTGAATTGTGGAGTTTGATTGTTATCGGTGTTGGTGAAATTGCCAAGTCCAGTCAGAATAATGCATACTAGAACTTCGAGCGTGATAGTCGTTTTGTTGAAAAATCTGCTAAGATATCACTGGTTGGACAGTTAAAAAAAAAAGAAAGTAACCTATCATGGTTCGATCTCGTCGTTGACAAAGAAGTCGCTAAGTGAGACATTCTTCGTCTTGTTCGCAAATCCAATATTTATATTGATGCGAATGTGTTGAGTTACTAAGCATGAGTAGGCTTAGGAGCCATAGGATTAGTAGATCGAGTTCGAGGGTAAGGAGGAGTGTCAAGAAAGTTGAGAGGGGAAAAAATGGAGTTCACTATAGCACAAGAGTACATATAGCAAACAGAGCATGCAAGGTGCACCACCAACTAGAAAGTTATATGACTACAATATTCTACACTACAGGTAGTTATAGAACAATATATAGAATTATATATTAGTCTGACACGCCCCCATAAGTGCCTGTTGTCAGAATCCCAACCACTAGACCATTGGGATAAAAGGGCTTGTTTTAGTAGCGGGTCAGTGCACCCATTACCCCCCAGGCAAACGCGCCTGTAACCCCCCCTAGGATCGATCGGGGATCTCACAGTGTAGCTCTACTGACACCCCCTCACACTGGGAGGCCCAGGACTGAGCACAGTGGCAACGGCCAACATGTGCATACACCGGGATTCGAACCCGAGACCGCTCTGATACCATGTCAGAATCCCAACCACTAGACCATTGGGATAAAAGAGCTTGTTTCAGTATCGGGTCAGTGCGCCCATAACCCCCCAGGCAAACGCGCCTGTAACCCCCCCTAGGATCGATCAGGGATCTCACAGTGTAGCTCTACTGACACCTGTAGGGAAGAATGTGCAGTCAACGCCCCCTGAAGGGGTACACCAAGCGCAGGAGAAGGAGAGGGGAAGTGAGGAGGAGGAGGGACTGTGACAAGAGAGGAAATGGGAGGCGACGGCTGAAGCTGCAGACACATGGGCAACAGGAGTCACACTGGCACAGCGGCTACCGGAACAGCGCCCCGGACTACAGGAGAAACTAGCTCCGCGGCTAAGACGAGCGGCAGGAGAAACGGACCCACGGGCGACTGGCACAGCTGGCTACGACTGGGCTACCGCAGCAGCGCCCCGGACTACTGGTGCTACTGACAACAAGGCGGCCACCTCCACTCAACCTCCCCCACCTGTCCCACACTCATCACCCCCACACCCGCCACCCCCATACCCATCACCCCCACACCCGCCACCCCCATACCCACCCCCCCACGGCTGCACCGGGTCCAGGAGCGGCTGCTGCAGTGGCGGCTGCTCCAGGGGCGGCTGCTCCAGGGGCGGCTGCTCCAGGGGCGGCTGCTCCAGGGCGGCTGCTCCAGGGGCCAGGGGCGGTTCCTGCAGTGGCGGCTGCTCCAGTGGCCAGGGGCGGCTGCTCCAGGGGCCAGGGGCGGCTGCAGGTGCGGCTGCTCCAGAGGCCAGGGGCGGCTGCTGCAGTGGCGGCTGCTCCAGAGGCCAGGGGCGGCTGGTGCAGGGGCGGCTGCTCCAGGGGCGGCTGCTGCAGGAGGTGCTGCTCCAGGGGCAGCTGCTGCAGTGGCAGCTGCTCCAGAGGCCAGGTGTGAGGATCTGGGATCGAGCTCAGAAAAGATGATTCAAATTAAAACGAATGATCACCTGGGTACAACACGAGGCTATATATAGGCTCGACACAAGGCCCCGTAACCAGGTGTTACGCGAAGGTTCCGCGGGTCGCGAAGCGTACCGAACAGATCCTTACCGAATTCGGTAGAAGGCAATTCGGTGGCAACCGAAAAGCCAGAATTCGGTGCACGCAACCTAGCTCGGTGCTATAACTATAATAAAATATAGGAAAGCACCTAGCCTAGGAAATCAAGCAATTCATGCATGCATATGATTATCCTATGCTAGAAATAGCATGATAAAGTAGAGGCAAGCAAGCATAGCTGGGATAAGCCGTCGTACTCTCACACGTCCCCCCCTCAAAGCTAGGTGGCGTGAGATACACCCTGCTTGACAAGATAGTCCTTGAGAGCACGGCGTGCGTTGCCCATATCAGCTTCTGCAACCCAACTGTCCTCAGTGGGGTCGTATCCCTTCCAGCGTATCAGGAACTCGAGGGTCTTGCCACCGCGGCGCCGATGGGTGAGAACGTGCTCGATCTCGTACTCGGGTTCATCCTGTATGAGAACAGGTGGTGGTGGCGGTAGTTGCCGTCCCTGGAACTGTTGGTTGGGGTCCTTGTAGGGTTTCAGTAGCTGGACATGGAAAGCGTTGTGAAGCTTCCATGTATCTGGTAAGCGCAAGCGGAATGTAACTGGTGTCACCTGTGCCTCAACGAGAAAAGGACCACAGAAGCGAGGCCGGAGTTTGGATGGGAGGTGAGACAGGTTCAAGTTGTGCGTGTCAAGAAGCACCTGATCTCCGACTGCTACTAAGTGATCACGTCGCTGACGATCGGCATACTGCTTCTGGGAGTTCTGCATCGTGGTGAGACGTCGCTGAGTCTTCTCCCATAGCTGCTGCATGGTGGTGACGAAGTCATGTGCGGCTTGGACGTGTGCCGGTGTAGTTGGCTGCTGTGGTGTGAGTGGTTCCCGTCCGTAACACAGGAAGAAAGGAGTTTTCCCTGTGGCCGCATGTGATGCGTTGTTGTAAGCAAACTCTAGGGTTGGTAACTGTGTGTCCCAGTGGCTGACGTCGTCCTTGCAAGCTGTGCGCAGTAACTGTTCAACCACTTGATTGAGTCGCTCTGTCTGTCTGTCAGTCTGGGGGTGGTATGCTGAAGACATTGCAAGCTTTGTCCCCAACAGTCCCATGAGCTCCTTCCAGAACTTACTCGTGAATTTGGGGTCTCTGTCTGAGATGAGTGTAGCGGGGATGCCGTGGATGGTGATGATGCGGTCGAAGAAGAGTCGAGCAGTTGCTTCAGCTGTAGCTGTGGCATTGGCCGGTATGAAGTGACCCATTTTGGAGAACTTATCAATCACCACGAAGATGGAATCATGTCCCGGTGAGGTCGAATGAAGCCCTGTGATGAAGTCGAGGCTAACGACATGCCATGGCTGCTCCGGTATGGGTAGAGGCTGAAGTAACCCTGCTTTTTTCTGCTTTCTGCTCTTCATCCGCTGGCACGTGTCGCAAGAGGTGACGAACTGCTGCACGTCTGCTGCCATCCCGGGCCAGTAGTAATACTTCGCTATCCCTGCTAACTTCTTGTTGCTCCCGAAATGTCCCGCGTAAGGTACGTCGTGAAACTCCTCCAATAGGATCTGCCGTAGCGGGGCGTAATTCGGTACCCAAATCTTTCTTGAACCCTTCCTTACAGCTAAGTCTTTCTCCCACTGTAATAGCTTCTTGGTCTGTGCTGTAGCAATCTCTGCGTCCACGGAGTACCCATGTTGGAATAGACCCTTGAGCAGAGGGTTCATCCCGTCGAGCTGGATGCCTGCTACATGTCCGGGGCGGCTCAACGCGTCTGCCTTGTTGTGTAGCCCGGGCTTGTAGACGATGTCGTAGTGGAAGTGAGTTTCCAGGAAGTCCACCCACCGCACCTGTCGTCGTGAGAGTGTCGGCTGTGACTTCAGGTATTTGAGACTGCAGTGGTCAGTATAGACTGTAGTCTTGGCTCCCTCTAGGTAACATCTCCACGCCTTGAAGGCTATGACTATCGCTAAGGCT